ATCGCCCAGTAGAATATCTCACGAGCACAACCATTAAGGAAACAATACCGCCTAACCAAAGCTCCGAAATTCCTAGAGATAACCCCATTGGAAATTTCGAAAAGAATTTTCGCGAAGATTGTTAAAATGAATAAAGAATCGGACTCCACCACATTTTAACATTATAATCGAAGCGAGAAACGTGGAAGTAAACAGAAAATAAAAATGAAAAAATGCTAACATCAACGAATGCTAATCGTCATGTCGGAGTCAGGTACACTCTTCCGTGAGAAAATGACGACACTTCGTAGAAATTTGGGCTTCAGTTATTCAGACCCAAATTATACCATTTCATCGTAGGTGGCCTCTCACCACTCCCAGTCCAATTTTTCTGCAACTTTGCCTTTAAAACTGGTTTTGCGCACTCTTCGCGCATTTTTCTATTCTCTTCCGTCCGAAATATCAGCGCTTCATGGAGCACCCTCCACAAGGACGTAATTGACTGATTTACAGCATATTTGATAGATTCTATGCGCATACGCATAAATTATACAATTTCCGGTGTGGGTGAATGCATGGCGTATTCCCAACAACACTGCCGTAACATCGTCTGTAGTCTAGTCATCAGCTACATTTCTTTCATGCTTATGGTTAGTTCAATAATGAACACTGATCTTGTGGTACTGCACTCCAAATATTTAAAAATTCTTCGTGGTCCCTTGATTCTCGTCACTTCGTGTTTTGACATTTCCAGAAAGAAGCAACAACTCCTTTCTTTCTGATAGAAAAAAAACAGGAACAAATGAAGTCAATATCGTTTCTCTGACCATCCCTTGTAATAAATTGGATGAAGTAGGTGCACAGCTTTTGCTAGAAGTCCAAAAATCTGTCTACTCCTTCTCCTATTCCAAAAAAGAATCATGCTACGCCCGGTCTAGCCAGTTCCTCCATCCGAAAACAGTACCTTCTCCACGGCTTTGGATAAGTGGCCGAAGCGTAGACATTTGTATTACACAGTGGATAGATTACGACAGCACGAGCCCATAAAAGTAGGTGACGCACGATAAGGAAAACCTGAACTGAAAAATTTCGAAAAATCCTATCTTTATTTCTTTATTTTTTTCCAGTTACAACGAAGTCACCATGCACACCTGTAATAGGGGTATTCCTGAAGCGGTCGACATATCCAAAATCGATCTATCAGGTTCACAGTGCTTTAGAAGCAAAGTTACTGAAGGGTTAGCATCAGGACTTGGCCACACGTCTTCCAGGAGTAGGATCCCATGGTACGGCCTGTAGGGTTTGAAGAAAAAATATTACTCGAAACGCTTGCTAATGGGAACACCTATTCAAAAAGGAACCAACCGTATCCTTTTAACTATTCTGTCGATCTCCGCCCGATTTTTTGGAGTCAAGTGAGCGTGGGCAAATGCCCGAGATTGAGCACAAAAACCTACTTCGATGAAATTATCCACAAAGACCTTAAAAGGAGGAAATTTCGGAAAGTTGACAAACTCGAAACTTAAAGATTTTTGGCATTATGTACTAAAACCTAACTATAGAAATTTCGAAGAGCCAGTCACAAAGTCATAGTGAGACAAGAGTAACCCTACTCACCTGCACTACTCCAGTTCGCCCAACGTCTAGGTAAACCTTAGTGAGAAGTTCAGCCAGTGCGCTCTTCCTTCGTATCTGAGAAAACACATGATATATTTTGTTCCCGAGTTGAACCCTTGACAAAAACTTACCGTTTCCCACGGAATCTCAAGGAGTGACTGGTCGCTCTCCGGTCGGCTTGACACCTCCGCTTCAAATTCGTCCAATGCTGATCGCATAGCTCTCTCCTGAATTGAAAAACGATTGCATCCCAGCACTGTTCTTTAGATTCAAACATATCGAAATGCACAGCGGTGGGTTCCGTAAGTACTGTCAGAGATGGAATTTATTTACCGCACCCCCTCATGTAAGACAGACACAAGACTGAATGGCGAGAGCAAATATAATAATAAGGAAATAGCTTGCAAATAGGAGCATTTTTTATAAAAGAGTGCGACGAAATTGAGTTTGCTATTGGTTGAAACTACAATAATACGCCTTACCGGCAATGACCCGGGTATAGTTCGTGGAATCAAAATGTGAGCCAGCCTCAAGCCCAGTTAGTTGCTCGCTCCAGCATCGCCATTGGAGCAAATTCCTAATATAATGGTCTAAAAAAACAATGCGATCCTGATTGGAACCTGCCCGCGCATTTCAACAGTCTAAGGGTGTCCAATTACCCAGGACGCGAAGACATTGTCATTAAAAACGCATAGTAGCTTGATGGAACAAACCAACTTCTGGGAAGTATTTGTAACTCTTACCTCAAAGTAATTCCAGAATAGAATTGAGATCTGCCACTTCCCCCGTTAACACGAGCCTTCGGATGAGGGGGATGGCGCGTGCGGTGGCACGCAACTAAGGCGTGTCCAAATGTTTCCAGGCCTTCTGCTCTGCCTTCTTCAGGGAATCAAACTTTTGTGTTGCATTTATTTGCGCTTGCATCCAGGGTGTGAAATACAGAAATCTAGAGCTATTAGGTGGATGGTTCCATTGTAACAATTCTTCGAAAGCAACGAACTCGAAAAATCGCTTTTGGAGATTTTTGCTTTCATTCTTGGGTGCTCGCCTGTAAGAAGTATCTAAGTAACACTTACACTCCTCGTGGGCTTCTATTCTACTAACAAATGTGATTTATAGTGCCTGGGTTTTCACATCAATTTTTTTCATTTTGGGTGTACGAAAGTCGACAAGGGGAGACCTAGTTTCTGCATCTGATAATTATCCTGGTGGTAACTGTAACTTTCGAGTCCCCGAATTTTCCATCTGTGGTGATTCCAAACTTATTGAAGAGTTGAACTGTTGCTCATAAGGGCTTCTCTGATAGGTTAGACTGCTGCTAGATGTAACGTGCCAGAGCCCCTAGTGAGTTCAATTTGAGGACTGACTCAAAGTGAAGTAGTTATTTCACTAGTTTTGAGAACTTCATGAAATTTGGTTTCATTAGGAAGAAGACATTGTACCCTTTCACATAGTGCACAGAAAACGAGATGAAAATGGAGCGATACGGAAAAAAGTGGATATGACTGCGCGCGCACGCGGTCCTCATAATTTTGGACCACCCTGTATATGACTACATTGTGGCAATTGTCTAACACTTTTCATCTAACATTAGCTATGCAAACAAAAGTATAGTAACCTGCTCAGCGAAATATCCTCGTTGGGTTTGAAGCGAATCAATCGCCAATGCGAGCTTTTTACTCAGCAACTGAAAAAATTACTGAGTCACGAGATTTCACATCATGCTCGAGCTCAATGATCTATGAAACTCGCGAGACTTTCAAGATCAAATAGACCAGCAGTATAGGCAAAGATAAATCAAATAGCGGAGTTTTCTTTCTGCAAACTAAAACTAGTAAGAGTAGAAGAATGATAGAACCAGAGCCCAAAGGAAAAATAACGGAAATGAACCTGGAAGGACTCCACGAGATGAGAGTCGACGCTGGCCGGAAGCACAAAAACTATAGAAAATATCGTCGACGATCCTCCGACGCAGTGTAAGCTAGAATAAGGCACATTCTCTTGAAAAAGGAACAACTTCAACTTCACCCTCCACATAAAACATCGGCATTCAACAATAGCATCCCCGCCTCTAGCAATAAGAAAAGTGGTCTATTAAATCAGGCATATCTAACCTAAAATGTCCAACCAGCTCGAAGCAAAAATATAACGTGGCACAAACAAGGAAGAAGATACTTCAGGATCATCACATTCACTATTTCAATTCCCGTTTTACCCTTATGTGTTACAACTAAATTGTTCCGCGTAAAAAATATTCTGGCAGCCTAGCAAAAAATGAACTGCTTCTATGGATCAACAGCAAGTCTTCACGGACACTAGAGCGTACATCTGATGGAGCAATTAATCGATTTTTCCATCAGCACTTTATTGACCCCCTCAGCTGGTAGCTTTACCTGCGGCAGTATTAAAGTATTAGAATGTCAGATTTGCGAGTAAATTGAAGAATACTTCGGTTGACTACGAAAAACTATTATCATATCAATTAAGAAAGGATCCTTAGATAATGTAATAAAGCCTAAATCCTGATGCAACGTGCCCACGGAGTGACATCTTTCACAAACCTTCTTCGGATGTCCAGCAAATCGCACGTTGTCGACTTTCAATTCGAATGGGGCATCAACAGCTGAATCTTTAACGCTCAGTATATTTGCCAACATGCACGTGGATAGTCTGAAACGGTGGGCGCCTTTGAATAAACAAAAACCAGAACAATGATCGTCAAATTAAGCACTTACATGAACTGTGTTGGGAACGACATTTCACCAGATTTCTTCATGTTCCTGAAAAAACCTTTTCATAGCACTTGCTATTTTGTAACAGATATGTTGTTATATCAAAATTTCAGATGTAGATAAAAGAAAAAAAAACAAACTGCATTGTCATGAGCACTGGAAATTGAGAAGACGTCGTAGGAGCTGGAAAAAAATGTTAAAAATCAATGCTCACACTTTTATGTAGTGAAACATACCACATGATTTGAATCTCGAATCACGATCGGTCTTCAAAATAGAGTCTACTAAAGTACTCGAAGAGGCTTCTGTTGATTTAGCTGAAACCAAAAACGAACAGATCATGTGTTTGACACTTAAAATCAATGTATTAGGTTGAACCATGAGTAATGTCCGCTTTTCTCAAATTTTTGCCGTTACCGCCAAAACCAGTTTATGGTGTTTTCGTCAATATATTGTGAAGGGACCATGACGGTCTTCCAAAGTACCAAACAACCATCTGTACTCATCTCTGACGAGCGCTGGGGCCGTAAGGTATGCTTTCCGAGCAGTAGAGGGGCCCCGCCCTGGTAAGGTATGCTATCGCCGAAAACTCTTGGGGAAAGGCCAAGCCCACCCGTTCTCGGGAATATCTACCCTATTGACATACATTACCTTACGACTTTGACATGCAAGCCAGGAGACATCCCCGAGGAGAGGTGGCATTGCCTTTCCCCGAGAGTATTCGGGGAGGGCATTCCTACACAGGGAGGAGTCACTCTCCTATTCGGGAGAGCATACCTTACGGCCGTTGGGGCCGTTTGTTCAAAGCATGTTCGCAATGCGAGTCCCTTCTGAGAAACTCAACGAAGCCTGATGAAACGTGTGTAGCGTTGACAAACAAAATATGATGGACAAAGGGACATGTCGAGATTGGCTCCTGAAATGTCGAGAGGACAACTACAGCTTTAGAGACCAAGCAAATCAATTGGAGCTCCAGTCGCCTCGTTTATCAACAGGCTTGGATTTGCAGTAGACAAGCAGTGCTTAAAGAGTGCCATGGTTCTAGCCTTCCAAGCCATCAAAAATTCGCGGTGGCTGGAGTGACGCACACGGCGAGGGTGGGTGCGCACACGAGTCTGGCGAATCTTTCTTTTCAGAAGTAGACTTTCGGCTGTCTTAGCAAGGCGTCACCGGATATGAGAAGAGCGTAGTTGATGTTAGCCAAATACGGAGTCTCCACTGGATGGATGCGTTTGGCAGCCACGTCGTTTGGCAGTCACATGAGCTCCGAAAAGTGACTTTCACCCGAAGAATGTCCTGCTCTGCAGTGCCAAACGATCACACTACCGCTAGCGCAGACATCTACCTCTTACAGCTACTTAGACTAGTTGCTGATTTCGCAATTTTGTGACTTCCTGTAGATGAAATTGTTCTACTGGGTGACAGCTCCCGACCAGGGTCAACCCTACGTTGTTACGAGTAACGACGGGGGGAGGTCGTACTCAGTTGAGCTTGGAGGGGG